CAGGGAATATTTGTTGCTAAAATCTAGTCCGAACCTCCTCTGGTGCAACTTCAGGCCTTTTTCTCTCATCCTTGAGAATGTATTGCTTAGTAAACATATTGCTTAGTAAATGTATAAGCCATGTGAGTCTGATCAACCAACTACAGACATTCACATATTTTGGAGGACAGCTTGTGACAGAGGTGTGTGGAGACACATGCTTGTTAAATTCTGGGAGAAGGGAGACACTGACACGGTTGATATTTTCTAAGAGGAATCCTCAAGAAGCCTTTTTGCAAGTGCAATTCTCTGCTAGTCCAATGAGCAGCAACGAGGGAAAGGTGACCATATTCTCAGCCCTTTCTTCTGTAAACTGCTTAGTAGGAGAGTTAGGTGAGAAAGCAGTGAAGATTTAAAGTGAAAAAGAAGGTAGATTTGATAAGACGTCAGATATCAACATGATGGAAAAAAGAAAGAAGTTATCATTCTTAAATTGGAATGGACAACTCAGCACCACATAATATCACTGAAGTCATACTTTCACCTTTCAATCAGTGCACTGATACTTGATTTTATTCCTACAAATTTTCTACAAGTATTTCCTCACTTTTATAGGGAAAATAAGGTGCAAGGAAGTGAACTGGATAGTCTGTGGTCAAAAGTGGGTTTGAAGGAGCTGATACCAAGTCTCAACTTCTCTTAAACCTGGTGACAGAGTTATTCCTCACAAATCAAACATCTTGAAAGAGAAAGGAACTGTCCCTCAGAGAAACTGCAACCACTGTAAAGTGGTTCCAGGTGTTCTCAGAGATTCATCTTTTAGCTCTCTGAGATAAGGACTCCACGGTTCCTTCCTAGTTTTATTCCTGGAGGTATTTAAAGGATGTGTAGATGTGACATTTAAGGACATAATTTAGTGGTAGGATTGGAAGTGTTAGGTTTATGGTTGGACCATAATTGAGTAACCAATGAGGTACTTTCCCATGAGCTAAATGGAGACAGCAACTTAAGATGAGTCTCAGATGAGGATTGTTGTCCCCTCTGTGTGCTTTAGGCACTGCAATGATAGGAACAACAGGCATTCTTCAGGATATTTGACATCAAACCTAAAACTTCCAATCTGCTTCCTGAAAAAAATAATTATCTCAAGTTTTCAGCTTCCCAGATGATATGCCAAGCATATTTCCAGCCTTCTGAAGTTGTCAAAGGATGCAGATAAATAGTCTTATCTCCTCTAACACAGATAGTCTCAAATTGAGCAGAAGACTACAAGCAAGTTTTATTACTTGGAAGGTGAGCAGATGTGGTGGCTGAAAGGTGACCAGAGACAATGTCTGGGGGCTGCTACTGTACTGACCAAACTATTGAACAGTTTCATTTCTCTCCAGTGAATATCACTTGTTTGTTGGCTCCAACATGTTCCCATCCAAGGAACAGCATGACCCAGGTTGCCTTCTGGATCTGCTATTCCAAATCCTTTATTACTAGCAACAGAATAAAGCTCCTACTGTTTATTTTTCCTAGAGAACAAACAATTGACTAACCCTATCTACTGAGTTGTTTTTCCATGGTACTTGAAATCACTTCTTTACACTTCAGCAGTCTGTGAAACTTGACAATCAATCATTTTCGAGTGCCAACAGCCACATCCTATGACATATATGGATCTGTAGGAAGCACAGCTCGAAGCCTTTCTAATTTTAGCTTGTTTCAGTACACTAGAAGTTTCTAGCATCAATCATCCAAGGAAAATACTTTACATACCAAAGTGTCACAAAACCCACTGTGCTGGTTTGTGTTTAACTGGGGGGCACTGGCATGATTTTGCATCCACAGACTCCTGAAGCCTCTGAAACTCCATGTACCAGCAGAGCTGTGTTAATTGGCTGCACTTGCTTTCTTGCAGTAAAATAGAAATGATATAAAAATGCAGACAGTAAGTTTCCAAATGCATTGAAGTCAATAGCTCATGAATTTGTGCTACTGATTTTCATCCAGCTGTAGTTAGAAAAGACTTAATTCTTTTCCCAGTCACACTAAATTACTGCAGAAAGTATTAAGCTTATGTAAGCAGAATTAGTGTAATGGCTAAAATCACCAAGCAGCAGCAGCAGGATCCCAGTTTATCCTTTGCATACTCACAACCTCCTTTTCGTCGGGCAGAAAGGATGATCAGCACATGCTGATCCCAAGGAATGGCCCAAAGAGCTGTGCTGGGAGTACGACCATCCACTCTCCCCTTGGCTGTTTCACCAGGCACTGAGCACAACCTCAGCCACCAGCTGAAGACCAGGGGAGTGCGTCACTCCCACATGGGAGGCTTAGCATTCCTCACATTCCCTCACAGCCTTTCCAGATTATACCCTCTAGAGAAGGTGGTTGCTATATTTCTGCCTCTTGTTTCTGCCTTAGCAAGTAATACCTGACTATGCAAGGTGTGGTGGGTTTTGTTTCAGGTCCAAAGTCTGTGGTCCTGCCTGATGGGCTGAGTACACTCAGGTTCTTTGTTTTGCACATCAGTGGGTGGGGGGAAGTTCAGCCCATGGTCCATCAGCCATGGGAAGCCCAGACAGCCTAGGGATCATAGAATCATGCAATCATCAAGGTTGGAAGAGACCTCTAAGACCATCAAGTCCGAATATTAGCCTGTCACTCTCCTGTAATCCCTGAACCATATCTTCCAGGGCCGGGTCTAGATACCTCTTAAACACTTCCAGAGACAGTAACTCCATCATGTCCCTAGGCAACCTATTCCAAGGTCTGTACACCCTAAGAGTGAAAACATTTTTCCTAATATCTAAACTGAATCTCCCTGTCTTAGCTTATAGCCATAAATACATCAAAGCTACCCAGAACACAGTGACAGTTGCACAACACACATTGGATTTACCACACTTCCACAGTCATGAACAGTTCTGTGTTCATATTGTCTACCACACTACCCAAAGTCCAGCCTTTTGCTCAAAAACACTGCAGCAATGCCTGGCACCCCAATTTGGTGCCTGCTGAGATGGGGAACATTTTCCCTAGGAAGAGGAATCACCTGCAGAAACATAACAAATGATCAGATCATAACCTAGTACTAATCTGGTACTAAACGTTTGAAAGAGGAAATGGGCAAAGCTGTTTAGAATTGTAGAGTCATTGAATGGTTTGAATCGGAAGGGACCTTAAAGATCATCTAGTTCCAGCCCCTGCCCTGGGTAGGGACACCTCCCACCAGCCCAGGCTGCTCCAAGCCCCATCCAACCTGGCCTGGAACACTCCTAGGGATGGAGCAGCCACAGCTGCTCTGAGCAACCTGTGCCAGAGCCTCAGCACCTCACAGGGAAGAGTTTATTCCATCTAACCTAAATTTCCTCTCTTTCAGTTTAAATGCATTCCCCTTTGCCCTATCACTACAGTTCTTGAGGAAGGGCCCCTCTCTGACTTCCTTGTAGCCCCTTCAGGCACTGGAAGGCTGCTATGAAGTATCCACACAACCTTTCTTTAGGACATTCAGTCTAGGGACAGCAAGGCTGCTATATTCAATTCCTTCTGCCCCCAGTCCCAAGCACCCATGATTCATTGGATTAGGGATATTGGTGGACACATCCCAGGGTGTAGTATCCATTTATAAGCCTCCTGTTCCTAGCATTGCCCAATATTTTCCTGCCTCACTCTCTTTTAAACTGATCTACTAATTTCACTGTGTATACTCATCTTTATTCTAGTATTGCAGAATTTTTTGATGCACAGTTCTGCTTTTGCCTTATTCACTGCCTTTTTGATTTTGCCTGGGCTTCGTCTCCAAATTGAGGAGTTTTTTCAGACTCCTTATGGAGCAGCTGTTTCCATCCTCTTTGTACCCTCTTGTGCCACTACATCTTTCCAGAGACCAGACTGCACAAAGTGCATAAGATGTCAATTCAGCAAGACTTTATATGGCAGCAGAGCCCTGCTGTCCTGCTGACAGTTCCTAGCATTTTCCTGGGTCTTGGCCACTGCTGCATGTTGAGCTGATGATTTTGGAAGGACATTGACGTGTTGGAGTGAATCCAGAGGAGGCACCAAGATGATCAGAGGATTGAGCAGCTCTACAGTGAGGAAAGGCTGAGGGAATTGGGAGGGTTCAGCCTGGAGAAGAGGAGGCTTTCATTGCAGCCTTCCAGGACTTGAAGGAGCCCATAAGAAATATGGAGAGAGACTATTTACAAGGGTCTGGAGTGACAGGATAAGAGGCAATGGCTTCACACTGACAGAGAGTAGGCATAGATTAGATATTAGGAAGAAATTCTTCCCTGTGAGGTGCTGAGGCACTGGCACAGGTTGCCCAGAGAAGCTGTGGCTGCTCCATCCCTGGAGATGCTCATGGCAGGTTGGATGGAGCTTGGAGCAGCCTGGGCTGGTGGAAGGTGTCCCTGCCAATGGCAGAGAGCTGGAACTAAATGATCTTTAAGTTCCCCTTCCAACCCAAACCATTCTGGGATTCTATGATTCCATGACTTCGCATGTCCAACAACCATAATAACGGAGAAAATATCTGCATATGGGAGTTAAACTATTGCTTTTGCAGACAAAGGACAGATATGACAGAAGACACATTTATTTGCTGCACAATGGGAATCTCAATCATTTTCAAATGCCAGCTGAGGGAGAAGTGACTCACATGACTTGTACACAGGAAGCCTCTTTGCAGTTTTCAGTGCTGAATTTCTTTTCTTCTCAAGACGTCACTGGTGTGAGTACAGTTGCCTGCTGAGTGGCAGCAACGTGTTTGGCAGTATATAAACATGGAGAAAGACATGGTTCCTGCCCTGAGGAGTTTACAATCTAAAAGGTGACATGGACAATACTAATCCAATACATAACAATCGACTGAAATATCATCTGTCAGACATAAGATCCATTTTAACAAGCAATTGGAATATCAAATATATATATAAAGGGCACAGGTAGAACAGAGTGGTGTCTGTGTTCTGTTGGGGATTTATATGTTCATAAGTCTACAGGCACAAAAGGTAGTGGTGTTTTGCTTGCTTTTATTTTCTTTGGCAAGGCTGCTCCAGCTTGTTCTTCCTGAAAAACAAAAAAAAAAAAGAAAAAGGGAAATTAGATTAGAACTCAGCACTGCTTCTGTGATGTTACATCTAAACACAGGACAACACTGGGATGAATTCATTCCCATATAACAGAGGACACAGATTTGGGAGAAGTAGTATGAAAGAAGTGATGGATCTTCTCTTCTGTTCAGGAACTGGGATTCCACAGATAATAATAGAATTTAAGAATAACTCCTCACAGGTTGCTCAAGGTCTCATCCAGCCTGGTCTTAAAGTGATCAATCTGTATTTCAGTGCAGAGGAGAAGAGACAGTAGGAGGAATAAGAAGACCTGCAAATTAAATCTGAAACCACATGCTGACAAAACTTGAGCAATGCTGGATGCTCACACATCTGTGCAGGCACAAATTGTCCCTGCCAGATGTTTCCTGGTTGAAGGTTTGAAATTTGGCCCATTTTCAGTAATTTTATACCGTGCCATATTTCTGGTCAGGCTCCTCTCCCTTCCAAGGATTTGGGTGTTTTTAACATTTCAACTAAATTTGAGACAAGGCTTCATTTGAGACCTGAGGCTCCTAAAAGTTTCAGTGAAATCAGCAGCTGAGTAAGAGAGAAGAGGAACAAATTCATGTTCCAGATGAAAGAGAAGCTGCAATGAGTCTAACAGTTAAGTGCACTTCTTGCCCATCAGTTGGGCCCTTCATGTAGGTTCACTGACTCCTCAGCAACAGTAGGTACAAATTTTTCAAGCTTATGTTACTTTAAGAACATTTAGAATCTGTGCTCAATATGTTAACAGTTACCTGAAAACCTGTTCAAGAAACAATGTGGCATAGGGAACTGTACTAAGACTCTTCTTGCTCCTCCTCCTCTTCCTTTGCTTCTCCTTCTTCCTGCTTCTCTTCTTCTTCCTTTTGGACAGAAATTAACTGTAGTTACCACAAAGGACTTGAAGTAATAATAAATAGCCTTGAAATGCAGAGTTCTGCTTTTGTAACTCTTCTGTTTCTAAGAAATGCAATATTATTTGAGATCAAAAATTAGAAGAGAAAAGTGATGTGTAGGGCTTTAAATCATAGAATCATAGAATTTAAGGGCGGGAATGGACCTTAAAGATCATCTAGTCCCAACCTTCTGCCATGGGCAGGGACACTTCCAGTCCTCTTAATCAACTTTGTGGCCTCCTCTGGCCTTGCTCCAACAGTTCCATGTCCTTCTGATGTTGGGGACACCAGAACTGTGTGCAGTATTCCAGGTGGGGCTCACAGAGCAGAGCAGAGGGGAAGAATCACCTCCCTTGACCTGCTGCCCACACTGCTGTGGATGCAGCCCAGGATTCCATTGGTCTCTGGGCTGAGCTCACACTGCAGCTCATGCTGAGCTTCTCATCCACTGTCACTCCCAAGTCTTTCTCCTCACTGCTGGTTTCAATTCCTTCCCCACCCAACCTGTAGCTGTGCCTGAGATTGCCCTGGCCCAGATATAGGACCTTGCACTTCATTTTGTTATAGTCCATGAGGTTTGCATTGTTCCACCTCTCCAGCCTGTCCAGGTCCCTCTGGATGTGCCATCCCTTCCCTCCAGCTGTGACTGCCCCACACACTTGGTGTGCTCAGAGAACTTGCTGAGGGTGACTCAATCCACTGTCCAGGTCACTGACAAAGATTTTAAACAGTATCAGCCCCAAAATCCTGATATTCCAGGGCTTTAGTTTGTGGTGTAAATAGGAAAGGGCTGGAATATAAGAACGCTCTTCTAAGGGAGGTTAGAACATGGTTAAGCTGCAAATAGATGCCCGAGATCAAAATGAGAATATGAAATGAATGTAAATATTACAAAACATTTAGTATTTTTAATGATATGATTTCTTGCAGCAGTAATCAAGTAAAGGTTTATGGCACAGGAACTAGACTCCTGAATAATCTAACAACCATTTGGAGTCTAGTAATACATATTGTTTCTGTTTCAAATGTTCTGAGTTCTCCCTTTTATGCAGGAGAAATGGCCCAATTTAAAGACAACAGCCCTTTGCTGCAGTCAACCAAATGAACAGTTATCTGCATTTGTGTAACACAGACAACAATCTGTGCTTATTGTCTTTCAAGAGTAAATGAAGCTTTGAAGTGTAGTTCTGAAAACAACTGAAAATTGCATTGTAGGCTCCTCTGCTCCTTCCCTTCCCCCAAACTCCTGCCCAAAGGCATCCTGAGTGTATAAATAAGCTTTATCTCAAAATGTCATAACTTCAGAGACTGCCTGGGCTGCAAAAGTGATGTGAATTTCTTCCTGGCATAATCAATCAATCAAAGAATACATAATAAGTTTCAGTGAGCACTGCAGGTCATATAGGAGCAGCACAGACCTTCAGTTTTCCTCTTAGACACCTCCAGAGTCAGTGAGGTAAAATCCTCTTTAAACATGTGCTTGGGAATGGATCTGTTGGAATCAGATTCCTGGTTTAAATTGTTGGTTTTCAGGACAAACCATTGCACTAAGGGATCATCCCTGCAAACCCAGAAATGTAATATGAACAGGTCAGTGGGATTAGCAGTTCTTGTGCCAAAGGAATATTGCCTCTTTCAGCATCTCCCCCTGGGAAAGGTGCCTTTCATGAGCACTCTTTGAAACAGGGCCAGGTGAGCACACAGACAAGAGACATCTTTCAGATATTAACAGCTTCCATCCAAAATTCATCTCAATTCATTTTTACAGCAAAAAAAAGGGTATTTGTCCTGCTTGAAGCATTAACTGATGGTGCCAGGGAGCAACTAAATGGCATTGATGGCCCACAACAGCCTCACCAGGAATCCCCAAGCCTTGCCCATGGGCCCAGAAGCTTTAGGGTCTTTTGACATGTCTTCTGAGGAGCTCCTGAGGGAATTGGTGGTATTTAGTCTGGAGAAGAGGAAAATCAGGAGCGATCATTGCTCCCTACAACTCCCCAACTGGAAGTTGCAGTGAGGTGTGAGTTGGTCTCTTCTGTTGTGTCCCAAGTGAAAGGATGAGAGGAAATGGCCTTAAATTGCTCCAGGGGAGGTTCAGATTAGAAATTAGAGACAATATTTTCCCTGCAAGAGTGATCAGGCCGTGGGATGAGCTGCCCAGGGAGGTGGTGGAGTCACCATCTCTGTAAGTGTCCCAGAGGCATCTGGATGTGGCCCCTGGGGACATGGTTTAGGGGTGATTCTGGTGGTGCCGAGGTGATGGTTGGACTGGATGAGCCTGAAGGTCTCTTCCCACCTTGGTGATTCTGTGATTCCATTTCATCTGCCAAAGTGCCCCATCCATAGCTCTAACAGCGTCATGGTATGTGTACACACAGATATCTGCATGTACTGCAGTTTGGAAGTGGGAAGATGTGGATGTGTCCTCTTATTAATTCCAGGTTTGTAGTGAAAAATAGCCTAAAGTGATCTCTAGTTCTACTGGGAATGCTGAACAGTATTCAAGGCATAAACTTGCAATGCTGGGAAAACAAGGAAATTGCATGAGGATTTGCACCTAGGTCTTACAAATTCTGGCAGGGAAAACATCTCTTTTATTGGCAGAAGTGGCTAAATTGTCAGAACGAATCTTTCATACTCACAACCCTGCAATGCAATCAGCATAGTGTCAGCTAGTGATTGTCATGGATAGAGTGGTCTTGGGAGTCCTTGTCAAATATTACTGAAAAATCTGTGAAAGACAATTTCGCTTCCCTTTACAGTTTTTAATGATTAAAGGCCTATCTTTGTTCTCAGACAATAAAAGCATGATATGATCAATTGTTATCTCTAGCAGAACATGATTTAGATTGAGTTGCATGAATGAGAATTTGCTAACTGTTGAGTGAAGCAATGGGACTGAAAAGGAATTGCATACACACAAACAAAACATGAAATTAAAACGTCCAAGTACACTTACATCTCTTGCTGCATGTTCTCCCTTGTCTTCCTATAGAAGAGATACAAAAGAAAGGATATTAGAGGTCCTACAGGCAAAACACAGCAGAAATTAAACACTGAATTTAGGGAAATTATGTGGATTTCAGTGGATTCATTTTGGGATAATGTCCTCCAGATTAACTCACAAAGCACATTTAAGCTAAGCTTTTATGCTGGAAAAAAGGGCTATAAAATCATTATATTCAGCTCCTTTTTTTTTTTCTCAGTTACTTCCAATCAAATCTGCTTCATTGACAAGCAAAGTGTTAGAGCTGGGGGTTTGTTTGCCTGTTCCTGTGGAGTTTTTGTGGGGTTTGCTGGTAATTAGCTGGTCTGCAGAATGAAAGTTAAATCAGAATTATACAGAGTCTTGTCTATGTTCTGTATCACCACTCAGAATCTGACTTGCCATTCTGCTAAGTGTTGTAGGCTGGAACAGATGCCTTGGCTCAACAGTGCTGGGGAAGAAGGAATAATACAAGCTGGTTTTAGCCTGTAGATTGAGCACAAGTGAGGAGAGAGATGAAAGAGGAAAAAATAAAATTTTACAGTGAATAGAATTTAATGTAAGAGCCTAAGCTGGTTGTTGGGGGAAAGAGCTAATCTTCCACAAATTCCCAAAGAGAAGGGGCAAATAGCAAGTTCCAAGCAGAAGGAAGAGTGGTTGATAGGAGTTTGCATAGAGTTGAGATAAGGGAATGAGCTACAGTGCCAGGGTTTATATATGGCCTGGGGAATTGCTGAGACAGGATACAGACTTGCATTATCATATGATTTTTGAACATGTTTCTAAAATAATTCTGCCCTGAAGGGAGCCTAATCTGTACTGCAAACTGATTTAACTGGGACATTACTTAACAAATATTCTAACCTCCAAGCTAAAATCTGAAGTGAAAACCAGATAGTGAAAACACAGAAAAATTATTACCAGCACATCTAGTGACCAGCAGAGCTCCTGTGTGCCATGTGCACAGGAGCTCACAGACTTCTCCTCAAGCAACTCAAAATCAAAGGGGCAGAAAAAGCAAGAAAAGGGGACACTGTATCCAAACAAAATGGTTCCTCAACCTTCTCCATCGAAGAATGGGAATTAGGAATGAAAAAGTATCAGTATCCAAAGGAAGCCTTTCCAGGATCTGAAGGGGCTCCAGGGAAGCTGCAGAGGGACCTCTTTGTTAGAAACTGCAGTGATAGGACAAGGAGTAATGGGATAAATTGAAAGAGGGATATTTATGTTAGATATTAGGAAGAGGTTTTCCCTGTGAGGGTGGTGAGACACTGGCCCAGGTTGCCCAGGGAGGCTGTGGCTGCCCCAACCCTGGCAGTGTTCACAGCCAGGTTGGATGAGCCTTGAGCAACCTGCTCTGGTGGGAGGTGTCCCTGCCCAGGGCAGGGGTTGGGGCTGAATGATCTCTAAGCTCCATTCCAACCCTTTAACATTCTATGATTCTGTGCAAATATTAGGAAGAAGTTAAGGATATGTTTGATGAAGTGATGAAGTGTGTAACAGGTTTAATAGGTGGAATAAAAATTCACAATCTAAAGAAATCCTAGTGCAGCTGTCCCTTGGTGACCCAGGCTGAAACCTGTCCCTGAAACTTCCTACTGGATCTATGTGAGGGAGTTTCTATTTCCTTGGACATTCGTGTGGATGAGGGGCTGGAGCTGCTGGAGCCTGAGGAGTCTCATGTGAAGTGTGTGAAGAACAATCTGCTGCAGGAGGCAACTGCTGGCTTGAGAAGTTGTCTTTCTCAGGGGGATTGAGGTCCCTCACTGGTTTCCTCAGTGTCACACCAGCCTGGGACAAATAACTGGAGCTTTCTGGACACCTGCATCTCCCAGAAGGGTAGGAGAGACCTACAGCCTCCACACATACCCACACTGACCATCACCTTCCATTCTTGCTACCTGGGACCCTCCGTGCAGTGTCACAGCTGAGACAGTCACAGCTGATTTTGTTATCTGTCTTATGTTCATTGGCAAAGACTGAGATAACTTTACCTTGCCAAGACTCTCCTAGAATTTTTTCCAAAGCACTGGCATTTCTCCTGCAAAGCCACTGGAGAAAAGCTTGGTTACACCTCACATAAGGGAGTCATTTCTGAGGTGGTTTGAAGCAGTGCTAAATAAGGCCAAAATTCCAATAGTAGATTCCCACTGGCATATTAATTCAGACACAGAACATAAAACTGCCACTTTCTAATTCTTTGTGTTCATACTACCTGTATCTTTTAGGACTTAACATCCAGTGGAGACACTCCAATGGCAATCTGACAATCTTTAAATGTATTTACCTTCATAAAACCCTGTCCAAGTAAGGAAATGTTTTTCTAACTTTCTTTTATAAGTGTAAAATGAGATATAGAGGCAAAAGGTGGAATTAATCTTGCTGTAGCTGCCTCAAAGTTGTTCTTCTCATCTAAACTTGTCCTCTGTGTGCTGTCTGTAGTGAATGAGAATACCAGAATTCCTACAGAATGATTCATGCCATCCCAACAGAAGTGATAATTGGGATGAACTATAACGAAGAGGACACATGCCATGTCTCTGAAAGAGATTTGTCCTAGGTGACATGGGAAGTGGGTGCTGGAACAGGGTGAAAAAAGTGGATATTTTTCTCTCTCCTCTCCCTGGAAAACTGAAGGAGAATCTATTTTTCACTTCCAGCCCCAATCCACTCCGTGAGAAATGGAGCAAGGTGCTGGTTGTATAGGAGTGGTGCTGCATTAGGTCATTGCAAAACCTTTCATACACAGCTGCTTGACACATTTGCAGACATGTTCCAGCATTCTGTTCTCATTTGAAAAACATTAGAGCAGACTGCCAGCCAGGATGGCAAGTAACCCAATCCAGCCAGGGGATGCACTGCACTTTTGTGCTGGGCTTCTCTGAAGAGCCAAAGGAAAAGATATGTGATGGCACTCACATGTCAGCTGAGATTGAGAGACATGAGAAGCACTTGGATATAATGTAAAGACAAATTTAAGGTTCTCACTAGGAACTGTCTCTCCTCCTCAGCATTTTCAAATAATAGATGGGACTTCCCAGTGCCTGAGACTTGCAGGAGACTGTGCAAAAGGGATTTTCCAGCCCCACAGTGTCTGGTTCAGTCATTGTTAAGAAGGGTGATGGGGAAAGGCTTACAGAGGTGCTTCCTCTGGGAAAACATTGCAGCTAGATGAAAAAAAAAAAAACAAACCCAAAAATAAACCACAAAACCTGTTTGTTTTGGTCTTCAATGAAAGAGAAGATGCATTTGTGACAGATATTCCCCTAGGACCAAAGGGATCACCAAGCCACAAAAGAACCTGATGAGTTGAGTGCTTGATGCAGCAGTAGACATGACTCCCTGGGAGGAATCACCTGACACTGCAGTATCAAAATCAACCCATCCTGAAATGCCAAATTGTACTGCAGTTTGAGATCTGCCCATGTGGCTGTAATATCAGACCATGATGCAGGCAGAAAGGCAAGCACTGCTCTCTGTTCCTGCACTGCCCAGGGGACTTTGCATGGCCTGGAGAAGACACTGCCAGATCTGCAACAAGCATTAACAGCCAGATTTATGAGCACTGCAGATGCTGCCCATTGATAGCAGCAAATTTTTTTTCCAGCACTCAGATGTCTAGTCCTAAATTATTCTCAATAACTAGAGTCTGGTTCCAAATGGCCATCAGAAAAATAACAACTATACAAAGCTTATGGTAACAAGTGGCAAAAGGAAACTGTTAAATAAAGGCAGCTGCTGTTCTTCAGGATTCAGAGCAAAGTTCCCTGGAGTGCTATCTAGGTTTTGTATCATCCTGGTATCAAAGAAAATGCATGCAAAAGACAAGCAGGACCACTCTGCAATCAGTCTTGCCACCCTGAGGCTTAACAGAAGGGCCTGTAGGTTTATGTTTGATGTCAGTAGCACAGGTTCAACTCTCAGATCACAAAGAGAAAGGAAAAATTACCTGTTGATCTTCTGATGGTGACTGAGCCTCTTCAGGAGCCTCTTCATCTGCCTTGTCTTCTGTGTGTGCCTCAGTTTCCTCTGTGGCAGCAGACTTTTCATCCTTGGCATCAGCCTTCTCTTCTGTGGTATCAGACTTTTCATCCACAGCATCTGACTTCTCTTCTGTGGCATCAGACTTTTCAGTCTCCTGGCAGCAAAGGAAAAACCATTATTAGCCTCAGAGCACATAATAATTCATTTCTATAACATTCTTGACTTTACCATTTTGGGAGGTGGTTTTTTTTCTAATTTTGCTTCAGCGCTCAAATGAAAATATACCTTTTCAGGGCATATTTCACCTGTGAAAGGAACACTTGGTGGCATGTTAATCTGTTTGGGTTTGACCAGGGAAAACATAGGGTTTGGGTAGGGAAAACAGGGCACAGACCCAAGGTCTGACAGAGGAGGTTTAGGTTAGATGTTAGGAAGAGTTTTTTTCCAGAGAGAGTGCTCAGGCACTGGAATGTGCTGCCCAGGGAGGTGGTGGATTCACCATCCCTGGAGGTTTTCAAGCTGAGACTGGATGTGGCACTTAGTGCCATGGTCTAGTGACCACGGTAGGGTTGGACTTGATGATCTTGGAGGTCTTTTCCAACCAGGTTGAATCTATGATTCTATGAACTCAAGCACTTCTCAGCATAGCAGATCCTCTAACTTTTCTGTGGGTATTCAGTAGAAACTGATGTTCACCCTGATGGCACATTTGAGCTTCAGGAAAAGAAGCTTTTTTCACCAGCATGAATTCCAATTAAACATCATCAAGAAGCTACAGAAAAATAGAAGTTATAAAGGATTTCATATATAATCTCTTCCCTTTCTTGCTTAGAAACATCAGGAAACTGTTCCCACAAGTTCAATCAAATCTATTTATTCCAGCACTGTGACCAAGCACCTCCTAGAAGGCTCTTTATTTGAAGTCCTGGTGTCCTTGCAGCCAGGTGGCTGGGAAAGGTCACAGTGGCTCACACACTGTGTCAGATGAAAGGAGGCCCTGTAAGGCCTCGAGTGGAACAGCAGAAATAGGATGAAATGCAACAGCATGATGAGCAAAGTCACATTATTTGGGACAGGCAGTTCTGGGTCAGAGATTGGAAACTGATTTTTCTATTGCACTTTGGGAACTTGTTAGTTAATGACCACCAAGGAAGAAAAGATGGATATATTTAAATCAGCACAGAATAACTGAGCCATGAACATGATGGGATAGTGAAAGAGGTAATAAATGTGATCCTCAGATGTATGAGATGAGGCAAAACCTCCTCCTTTGGATAGCTCTGTACCATCCCAGTCCCTCAGGCTCAAGACAGAGAAATCCAGACTGGAACAGGTGCAGAAGGGCTGCAGGAACATCTGAGGGAGTGGAGAGCCTGTCTTATGAAAGGGTGACAAAAAAAGCTTCATTACTTTAATCTACTGCAAGTAACTCTGGGAGGGGATATGATGGCACTCTCAAAATAGATCAGAATAAACATCAGGGAGGGATGGGATAAGGAGGAGCACTGAGGTAGATGCAAAATGAGTAGTGTGAAGAAAATTTCTAACCATCATCAGTGTGAGATTTTTGGAAGAGATTTGGTAGACAAGCTGAGGCAAAGGGCCTAATTCAGTAGAAGGAAATTTGACTACTTCTGAGAGGTGTTGCCTGTGAGATTTCCTCTGGCAACAGAGAACTGGGCTCAGGGGAGCTCCTGTGCTGTGCCATCCTGAGCCCTAAATGCTTTGGGCAAAGCAGCACATCCCTGATAAAAGACAAGCTCCTTCCTCAGCCCTGTGACAGAGCCCTTACAACTCATCCACCTGGTGGCTTTGGGTTTTACTGCTTTTCCATAATTTCATTTGTCTCTACAGTTAAAGAAAATTCCCCAGCCATGACCCCCTGTCCTTTAAGCTTCACGAATCCTCCTCCAGTGCCCCCAGCATAGATGATTCCCTCAGCCAGTGCACTTAGCCTGCAGAAGCATAGCCCTGGCATAGCTAGCTGGGCTTTATCCCCAGAGAGCACTGGGATGAGCACTGGCTTAGGGATCTTTGTCCCATGACATGGTGTGTGACATCAGACATGTCCTTCTGCTCCTGCTCCCTCCAGCTCTGAGGATGGGGACAAAAATGATAGAAGGAAGCTTAGGAATGCTTGGAAGCAAATACTATGACAAAATGATGGATAAAATACTTCTGCATTTTGATCTTTTTCCTGAAACTTGCCTGTCTGTAAGACTTGCTGCTCTTTTGGCAATTTTCTCCTGAATCACGGAAAATAAGTTTTACATGTAAGGAACTCACAGTGAAAAGAGAATGGGCACAAAGGCTCCTAAGTTCTTCTTCTTCTCAAACATGAGCAGGAGGCTGATCAAGATTAAAGCTTTAAAAAGCCAAACATTTCTCTCTCACCCCATTTGCACACTCTGTTACGCAGCTGCATGAAGGGTGTTGCCAGCACACAGGGGATGCTCAGGGAGAGGAATGAGCAGATGGGAGTGAGCAGGAGGAGCCAGAGGAAGGAGAAAAGACAATTTATTTTTCTGGCAATACCATCTCATTTCACGTACACATAAAGTGTGGGCTCACTGCACTCTGAGGCTGGTGGCATTGTTACCAAAAAGAGAGCTATACAGACACATGTTTGTCTTCTTTTGTTTTTCCCCTACAAGCTAAAAAAAAAATTTAGGATTAATATCATAGAATCATAGAATTTAAGGGTTGGAATGGACCTTACAGATCATCCAGTTCCAACCCCACCATAGGCAGGGACACCTTCCACTAGCCCAGGTTGCTCCAAGCCTCATCCAACCTGGCCTGGAAATTAGTTTGATATTTATTTTTGGCATGAATATTAACATTTCATTTTAAAATCCATGTGCTCAGTAGATAAATCAAAGACATAAAGACCAAAGATTGCATTCTAATTAAAATGAACCCATTGTGTAAAAGTCTCTTAGATGAATCACATACTTACTCAGATCACAGGGCAAAAAAAAAAAAGAGTAGTAGCTGAAAGATCTGAACTGTAGAAGCGGCATGTTATTAGCCAGAACACACACACACACACATACACACAGTTCTTGTTAATTATATGGAGAACTCTGACATTTGGAACATCATCGTGGCACTCCCTCTTCATAGAAACATAAGATTTAATTTTCAGCTAATTCAAAACGAAGCACCATTTATAAAGATTGGCTGACAGGTCATTTTCTCTTTAAATGAAATGCACATACTGTAAATTTGTAATTCAAAACAGTCTCAGTAGAATCTTTCTTCCAGTAAAAGACTGAAGCTCAAGTATCTACAGATTCTGGGATATCAAGATTCCAGATATTAAGAGGAAGAATACTAAGATTAAGGCTTTAAGTATATACAGTATTTGGAAACAGACCCTCAGCTCGAGTAAACCACTGAGTTCCCTGAGACTCAGACTAAGCATACAAGTGATTATGGCTTTAAAAAGAAACATATCAAAATTTTTAGGCAACTGAGACTGTCACACCTGGTCCCAAATATACAAACCACAGTGATTAGAGCTCAAATGTGCACATGTATCCTGTTGGGACATCACTGTTCCTGCCACTAATCCAAGATTAAAAGGGAACTTTCAGAAATCTATCACTAATTGGAGTGATCTTTGGGGCAGGCATAAGGTACAGCTGCTCTTAAAATCCATTCAGCCTGCCCTGAAATGTGTTTAGAGGTATTGTACAGCAGATATTCCTTCAGGTGAGCAGGTATTTCATATCAATAAGCTAAATTACTTATTAACACAAGCACTATTTGTGCTTCTTCTCATAGGCACACAAAACTGTGCTACTCAGCCCTGTTAAATGATGCTTTAGAAAACAGGAGAACCAGTGTGATGGGGAGGATGATGTGAGCTACTTGACCATTTCTGAAGTACCACAAATATGTACTGATCTCCTGTAATGTCACTGAGTTTTGTGGGCACAGAGCATCCTTCAAGGCTACAGGTGTACTTGGTGTCAGAGAATCACAGGATCTTAGAATCCCAGAATGGTTTGGGTTGGAAGGGACCTTAAAGATCATCTAGTTCCAATCCCTTGCCCTAAGCAGGGACACCTTCCACTAGACCAGGTTATTCAGAGCTTCATCCAACCTAGTCTTGAACATTTCCAGGGATGGAGCAGCCACAGCTGCTCTGGACAACCTGTGCCAATGCCTCACTACCCTCACAGCAAAGAATTTCTTCCTAATATCTGATCTGAACCTACTCTCTGGCAGTGTGAAGCCCTTGTCCTGTCCCTCCAGGCCCTTGTCAATAGTCTCTCTCCATCTTTCTTTTAGGCTCCTTCAAGTACTGGAAGGCCACAATTAGGTCACCCCAAAGCTTCTCTTCTCCAGGCTGAACAATCCCAACTCTCAGCCTTTCCTCCCAGCAGCGCTGCTCCATCCTCTAACCATCCTGGTGCCTCCTCTGGACTCACTCCAACAGCTTGATCTCCTCCCTGTGCTGAGGACCCCAGTGCAGCACTGCAGTTAGCACACAGAGTATACTGATGTGTAGAAAAACCAGAACCAATCTGGTTAACTTTGTTGTTGTTTTGCTATTTTCTACTGAAAAAAAAAAAATACAGCTTTTCTGTAAGAGGATACTTAAATAACAGTGTGTAAAGACTACTTTTCATGAGTGCTGCTGATCCAAAAAGGATCTCCTTCATATCTGTGTGTGTTCAGAGCTTCTTTACATGTGGCATGAATCAATATGCATCTTGGTGACAACTTCGATGTGTCCCAGACATACCAGACTCACCCTGTAAGTGTAGATCAGTTTGCACATTAAGCTCTGGCACCATCACAGCTCTGATACCAAGGAGTAAGTCTCTAATGTAAATGCTGGACTTGCAGGACTGGTGACTAGTTGTAGCCACCTAACCCTATTTCTGTCCAAAGAAAAATACGTTTCTTTGGGGTTTTCTTGGGGCTTTTTTCCTGCCTTCTTTTTGCAGATAGCTAAGTGTTTTCTCTGTCAGTCTTCTTCTAATTAGAATTTTTATAACTGAGAGCATTACAGCTCTTTCTCCTGAGATCATGCTCGATGGTAATAAAATGTTGCCATCTTTAACGTGGGTGTGTCAACAAAAGAAATTAATCTAGAGAGTGACGAGGCAGAGTGAGAAGAGAGCTCTGCTGCATTGTGGTGACCTGGCTGAAGAGCTGCCTTGAGCTCTGCCTTCTGCTCCAACTCTGCTGCCAACTGTGCAGCAATTTGGAGTCAAACACCATTGTAAATGTCTCTGTTTATCCTCTTCTGTAAAAGCAGAGAGAAAAAGGAGCCTTTGCTAAGTGCTTTGAAAGCTACAGCGGAAAAGACACCCAGGGGAGAGCCACAGTTGTTATCAATGTCTTTGACACTGAGTCCCTGTGTGATAAGGAGAGTGATTTAAACTTTCTGCTTTAGCTGTGCCATCTCCCACCCAGGGAAATAAAAATTACTTGCCTACCTCACAAGGGTCTTGTGAGAATTCATTTAATTAACATCCACAAAGCCATGAAAGGCTGAAAGAACTGCAGGTATTACATATTATAGCCATTATAGAAGAGATGTGGAGAATCAGTGAGATAAAGAAAATTGCATTTTTCCACCTTCCCACTTCATAGATTATCTGCTCCTTCATGCAAGGTCCTGTTGGATACCATGTCTGGGAGGCAAAGGAACAGTTGCTCAGGATTCATTCATCCCCAGCTGTCAGCAGAGGCTATTAAAGTTCCTACTTCATGACAACCTTGGAAATGTTAAAAATATTATGTTTGGTACATTTTACTGGGCAGGTTTTTGTTAGGAGCAGGCAAGTGTGATTTACACTGATTAACTGCTGCTTTGGTGGTGGCTTCAGTCCAGAAAGTGGAAATAAAGTGAGAATGGTTTTGAAAAGTCCACGTAAAAAGTGAGATTTATATTGTCTCCCTTTTAGAATCTGTTCCAGTTTGAGAGAGATACACACAAGTGGTTTTAGCAGTTACTGCAGAGGTTTTTTCTCAGCATCTTCACTGCATGCGAGGTTGGCTGTGCTTTGTCATACAAATAACCTTCCTGCTCTGCCTCTGCTTCCCCCTCCTTCAGCTGTCAGCTCGACCTTAGCATAAGTACAATGGATGTCTCATGACAGTGATTTCCACAGCATAAATCTGGAATAATAAGTCAGGTGTGGAAGAGATGGTGATGATGACACATGTGACAGGGTTTCCTACTAATCCCTTCTTAAATAATTGTGGGTTGTTTGTTGGGTTTTTTTCCCTGGAATATGGTGATTATTTATACAAGAAGCCAAAGATAAAGCATGGAATCACCACAAGTCAACAGGCATTTGCTTTCTAGGCATTTTTTACCACATTGAGACTTCATAGAATCATAGAATTTAAGGGTTGGAATGGACCTTACAGATCATCTAGTCCCAACCCCCTGCCCTGGGCAGGGACACCTCCTCACTAGATCAGGTTGCT